TGTTCCCGGGCGCACCCGAGGGGCCGGAGGAGTGGCCTGGAACCCAGGAAACAGAGAACATGGGTCAGGGGCTGGAAGCGAGCAGGGGCCATGGTGGAGTGAGGAGTTATGTGGGCCTGACGCTGGAACCGAGGCCCCAGTGGAGTGAAAAGCGAAGGGAAAGAGCTTTTCAGGCGAAAGACCCGGCGGTAGCCAAGCCCAGGACTGTGGGCAGAGTGAAGGGTCTGGAGGTTGTTGTAGTGGTTTGTTGAGTGGCGATGACTGTGATCTGAAACCCACGACCCAGCACAGTGCCTGACACACAGTTGTTGTTAGGTGCCGTCAAGTGGCCTTGGACTCATAGAGACCCTGTGTACAACAGAAGGATACACTGCCCTGCCCTGTGCCAACTGCACGATCCCTGCTATACCTGAACCCATGGTTGCAGCCACTGTGTCAGTCCATCTCGTTCAGGGCCTTCCCTTCTTTCGTCGACCGTCCACCTTACCAAGCATGACATCCTTCTCCAGGGAATGGTACCTTCTGACAACATGGCCAAAGTAGATGAGACGAAGTCTGGCCATTCTCGCTTTGAAGGACCATTGTGGCTGCACTTTCTCCAGGACAGACCTGTTAGTTCTTCTGGCAGTCCATGATACTTTCAGTATTCTTCACCAACACCACAATTCAAAAGCATCAACTCTTCTTCTGTCTTTCTTGTTCATTGTTCAGCTCTCACACGCATGAGATTGAAAATACTATTAGGCGATTAAAAATACTATGGCTTTGGGTTAGGTACACCTTAGTCTTCAGAGACATATCTTTGCTCTTCAGCACTTTAAAGAGGTCTTTTGCAGCAAATTTGCCCAGTGCAATATGTCATCTGATGTCTTGACTGCTGCTTCCATTGGTGTTGATTGTGGAACCAAGTAATATGAACTCTTTAACAACTTCAATCTTTTCTTCATAGAATCTTTCAGTATTGCAACTGAAGACTTGAGTTTTTTTTCCTCCGTTCTTTCAGCTTGAGAAATGCCAGGTGTTTTGGTTGCCATTTGGTTTTCCAACTCCAGGTCTTTGCACATTTCATTATAGTAATTGGCTTTGTCTGCTTGAGCTGCTCTTTGAAATCTTCCATTCAGCTCTTTTTTCTTGTCATTTCTTGATGAGAAACCGTGTACGTCCTCCACCAATCAGTTGCTGTAGAGTCGATTGCAACTCACGGCAACCCTGTGCGTGCAGAGTAGAGCTGCTCCATAAGGTTTCATGGCCATGACCTTGCAGGAGCAGATCACCAGGCCTTCACCCACACAGTGGGCTCTCGTTAACTTCTTGATGAATAAAGTATGGGAAAGTACTCTGGAAGCAGTAAAATGTCACACAGCTCTTGGCTGCTCAGAGAGTTGGATCTAGGACATAGGTCTCCCAAGCTAAGAGGATCCAAACATCATCTAGAAGATCAGTTCTCCATGATGGAGTTGTTAATGAAAAAATGCTTGTAACCCCCAAATTGCCATAGAGATGCTTCTTCCACCAGAAGAAAGAGGGGAAAAAATAAAATCAGAAACCTTCATTCTGCTGGTTGGTTGATGAGTTGATTTATGTATCGACTGCATGCTTTTGGCAGTGTAGGTTGTACCTGGAGTCCCTGGGTGGCACAGACGGCTAAGCAGTTCAAACCTGCCCCAAGGTGCCATGGAAGAAAGGCCTGGTGATCTGCTCCTGCAAGGTCATGGCCATGAAACCTTATGGAGCAGCTCTACTGTGCACGCATGGGGTTGCCGTGAGTTGGAATCGACTCTACAGCAACTGATTGGTGGAGGGCGTACACAGTTTCTCATCAAGATTGGAGAGTCATCTCTCACTAAAGTTTGGAGAGATGACTATGATTCTGCCCAAACACCCCATCCCCTAGAGGTGTGATCTTGAGTAACTCAGTCTCTGTGGACTTCGGTTTCATCATTTGCAGGTGGGCTGGTTGGCCACATGAGCTCTGGTTTATATTCTCTGCTGAAAAACAGCATCTCCCCTACAGGCCCGGCAGCATCAGGTTGAGGAGTCTGATTGCTTGGCCTCGCCCAGTGCCCCAGGAAGGGGTCACAATGGCTGCCCAGTGCAGAGCCTCCTTCTCTCTGCCTGTGTAATTCTCAGCAGCCACACAAAAGGTTTTTTGTTTTCAGCTTTTATAGGTGAGGAACAAGCTCTGAGGTTGAGTGACTTTGCCCAAAGTCCCGCCCCATCCCCAGGCTGGCTGTACTCTAGGGCCTGTGCATGCCCCACTATATTCTGCCGGAGGTGGCTATGTGGAAATGGCTTTTTAGGGTTGGTGTGGCAACTTGGGAAAGAGTCCAAAAATGACAGATTTTCAATGAAATGAAAGCAAACTGAGTTGGGTACGCAGCATGATGGGGTTGTATTCTGGAGTTAATTTAATTGGGATGGCATAACTTCTGCCCGCTTTCACAAGAATGTGGTACCTTTGTGGTTCATTCAACTGATACTCTGAGCCCCAGTGGTACCAGAGGCCACCAAGGGAACCACATGTACTTTGACCCAGGCAACCTCTAGACAAGGGCAGAAAACCTGAGCTACAGGTAGAGAATGAAATGCATTTAGAGAAAAAGATGATTTCTGGCTGAGGAGATTAAAGACTGTGGAAAAGGTGCCCTCTGAACCAGATTTGGAAGGGTTGGTCTGAGTAGAAAGTGCAGAAGTGTAGAGGCAGTGCTCCAGGGAGGAACAGGAGAGAACTTGGGCAGAAGGCATCACTGTGGGGACCAGAAACACAAACTGAGTGGACACTGCCCACCCATTACCTGCCCCTTCCCAACTGCAAAGACATTTACAGTTCCTTCCAACACCCTGAAGACTAAGGTGCCTCTAACCCAAGCCAGGGTAATTTCAGTTGCCTCATATGCATGTGAGAGCTGGACTATAAATAAGGAAGACCGAAAAAGAGTCAATGCTTTTGAGTTGTGTTGGTGAAGAATACTGAAAGTACCATGGACTGCTAAAAGAACTAACAAATCTGTCCTGCAATAAGTGCAACTGCAATGTTCCTTGGAAGTGAGAATCTCCAGACTTCATCTCACCTACTTTACTCATGTTGTCAGAAGGAATCATTCCCTGAAGAAGGATGTCATGCTCGGTAAAGTGGAGGGTCAATGAAGAAGGGGAAGGCCCTCAACGAGATGCATTGACACAGTGGCTGCAACCACGGGTTCAGGTATAGCAGGGAACGTGAGGCTGGCATAGAACCGGGCAGTGTTGCGTTCTGTTGTACATAACAAGGTTGCCATGAGTCAGAGATGACTCGATGGCACCTGACAACACCACCACCTACACCCTGCTCTTCCCCATGCCTCCTTTCCTCTGTTCATTTTCCCTTACACCTACAGTGCCCTTTCGCACCTGGCTAACATCCTGCCCAGCCCCCAGAACTCGCTTAGAGTTCACCTTCCTTGGAAGCCTGCCCCCCGTGTTCCTCTGTCATCAATCTGCTGTCCCCTAGTCTACCCCTCTGCCTCTCCTGGCTGTGTTCCTTAGGGAGAATGCAGATCTCGGACTCCATCCCTGGAGGTTCCCATCCAGAAAATCTGCTGGTGACTGAGACATGCGGGGGAAACTCCACCTCCTCAATGGGGTGGCTAGGACTCTGCTCACGAGGCCTATGTGTAGAGTGCCCAGGGACACTTAGTAAGTTTGCTCAAAGAAATAAACAGAGCAAAGTAGCAAGTGTAACACCCATATGGTAAGCCAGTCTGAGGAGCAGATAAATAAGTTGTCAGACCAGCTAGGGCTGGTAGGATTTGGGGTGTGTGTGTGTGTGTGTGTGTGTGTGTTTGATAGAATGAAACAGGAGATAGAGCTAAATTATTTTTTACTTTTTCTCCTTCACCCAAGTTATGTATCTAGTTGGCGGTTTACCCTCCCTTCCCCACCCACCTCTGGTGACCATCAAAGAATATTTCTTTTTTTGTGAAGCCGCTTTGACTTTTTATAGTAGTGGTCTCCTGTAATATTTATCCTTTTTTGATTTGGTAAGTTCTCTCAGCATAATGGCCTCTAAGTTTGTCCATGCTATGAGACGTTTCACAGATTCACCATTGTTCTTTAATGTTGAGTAGCATTGTGTTGTACATGTGTGTGTTTAACAGCATTGTGTGGTAATGTCCCAAGAGCTTAGAGAAATATTGTAAGTGACTGATAGTACAATGAAACAGTTTGGATCTTGAAGAATACGTGAAGTGAATCCAGTTGCCGTTTGACTCACACGTGGCCCAGGGACACTCACTGGCTAACAGGGCACTGGCACCTGTGCTGTACACTTCTGGAAGCAAAGTGTTGAATTGCCCTGTTTGCAGTAGGTCGTTCAGATAAGAGATGCATTCATGCTTGACTGCAGTGCAGCTATTCATTTTGCCTGGTCTGACGTTGACTTTCCACTTGGTAGAGAGTTGAGTGCAGAGGGCCTCTGGTGGCCCTGGATCAGTCTTCTCAACCAGGGGTGACTTTGCCCCGTTTGGCCATTGTTCTGGTTACCTTATGCCGCTCTGACAAGAATATACCACAAATGGAATGGCTGAACAAACAGGAGTTTATTCTCTTACAGTTTGGGAGGCTAAAAGTCCAAGTTCCAAATGCCGTGTTCTGTGGGCTGTGTGAAAGCCCCTCAACCTTGGGCTTCAGCTCTGCCTCTTGCTCCTGGCCCACTGAAGCTAGAGGTATCTCTTCGCTCAGGCAGCTACCAGCTGCTGAGGCTAACAAGCCCAAGGTCAACAAATAAAATGGCACAGTCCCTATGTTACCAAAACACATGGCAGGCCATTAATTCAAGTTCATCAAAAGTCCCAAGGTCGGCAGAGCATGGCAGGCTGTTGAACAATGACATGGCTACATGCAGGGTTCAAGTGTGCCAAAAGCTAGAGACCATTCCCAAGGCTTCTCCTTATATACGGGAAGCAGACCACATACCCAAAGCAGCTACTCAGCTGCTTGTGGTAGATCCCACCATGGAGTTCATTACCAATCTCATCATGGGGAATATATACCACCAGCTGCGCAGCCACTCAGCCAGGCCCAGCCAAATTGACATACATCTTTGACTACCACGGTCATGTTTGGAGACACATGTGATTGTTTACAGTTGAGGGGTGCTGCTGGCATCTCGTGGATAGAGGCAGGGATGCTGCTAAATGTCCTACAGTGCCCAGAGTCCTGGCCATGGTGTCGATAGTGTCAGGGTGAGTGCTCTGGTAGTGTGATCTGTCTCCTCTCCCTGGAGGAAGGGGCCTGCTATTTCTGCTATGTGAGGGAGGAGCTTGTCTGTTTTGCTGTATCCCTCACTCCTGTCATAGTATCCCTGGCATGTGGTCATTGCTCAGTCAATGTGTGTGGGATGTTGAAGGCCACCTTTCACCAGGTGGGTGTTTGCTGTAAGACAAAGTGCTGCCCTGAGCCTCTGAGCACCCATGCCTTTGTGCCTCTGGGAACACTTCTCATGGAGTCTTGGCAGTGGGATTCCGGCTCAGAGTGCAAACATCTAAACTTGTGGTGCATCAAATAAAGTTGTTGAAGATACACAGCCCCTTTTGTCAATCTGTGCCCTGGAGATGCATGTGCACGAGGGTTCAGAGCAGTGGGCTGGGGACTGCCTGGCCGACTACGTGTCCTGCAGGGAGAGTCACCAAGAGCTCCACTGACCAACATGGTGGGTTTACAAGCAGGCATGGGAGTAAGGAAAACAAATGCACAGGTTGCAGAAGAACTTCCAAAACATGTCAGAGCCGAGCTCCACATATATCGGGGTGCAGTTAAAACAAGGGGACACTGCATGGTTTAAAATCAAGACGGGAATGTATCAGGGTTGTATCCTTTCACCATGCTTATTCACTCTGTATGCTGAGCAAATAATCTGAGAAGCTGGACTATATGAAGAAGAACATGGCATCAAGATTGGAGGAAGAATCATTAACAACCTGATGACACAACTTTGCTTGCTGAAAGTGAGGATGACTTGAAGCACTTACTGATAAAGATTGAAGAATACAGTCTGCAGTGTGGATTACATCTCAACATAAAGAAAACAAAAATCCTCACAACTGGTCCTATAAGCAGCATCACGATAAATGGAGAAAAGATTGAAGTTGTCAAAGATTTCACATTGCTTGGTTCTACATCCGATGCCAATTGAAGCAGCAGTCAGGATGTCAGATGACATATAGCACTAGGCAAGTCAGCTGCAAAGGAGCTCTTTCAAGTGCTGAGGAGCAAAGATGTCTCTTGGAGGACTGAGGTGAGCCTGACATAGGCCATGGTATTTTCCATTCTCTCATATGCATGTGAGAGCTGGACAATGAATAAGAAAGACCGAAGAAGAATTGATGCTTCTGTGTTGTGGTGCTGGTGAAGAATGCTGAAAGTACCATGGACTGCTAAAAGAATAAACAAATCTGTCCTGGAGGAAGTATAGCCAGAATGCTCCTTGGAAGGGAGAATGTCCAGACTTTGTCTCACATACTTTGGTCATATTATCAGAAGGGACCATTCTCTGGAGGAGGATGTCATGCTTGGTAAGGTGGAGGGTCGATGAAGGAGAGAAAGGCCCTCAGTGAGATGGATTGACATGGTGGCTGTGGCAATGGGCTCAAGTATTGCAAGGATCACGGAGCTGGCGTGGGACCAGGTGGTGTTTCGTTCTGCTGTGCGTAGGGTCGCTGTGAGTTGGAAATGACTCGACGGCACCTAGTAACAACCAATGGTTAAAATATTAAAATACATGAGAATGGTAGACAGCATTTCCAGGGTACGCCTTCCCTGGGGAGGAAGGGCTTGCAGGTTGGTAACGGGAGAAGGTGTGACCTGTGCTGGTCTTGTGACATGGCTTAAGGTGGGTGGTAGGGCCCTGGGTTACACTGGATTTTATGGCTTTTTGATTTCCTAAGGATTTCATTTAAAAATATATGTGTGTGTGTGCACGTGCATATATATATATATATATGTATATATATATGTATATATGTAAGTATATAATAAGCCCCCATATTGAATAGTCAATATGTTATATTAAGAACTCAAAGTAAATACCCATTTACTTGCTTGTGCACAAGCTATGAAGAAGGTTATTACAGTAAAACCTGCAAAAAAAACTATGGAAAGGTTATTACAGAAAACTATGAAGAAGGTTATTACAGTAAAACCTGCAAAAGCTGGAACTTGTGTAAGGCGGGAACCTGTCAGACTAAAAGGAATGCCAGAAAAGTGGTAAGATGGCACCCTGTCAAAAGGGGCAAACTTGTGAGACCCAGAAAAACATGGCAAAGTGTCGAGTTCCGACTCCGCCAGGTTTCACCGTTGTCACTTCTGGGCCGTGAAATCAGTTGAGGGGATTATGACTAGGAGATTCAGAGAGTCCTGTAGTATGGCTAACACAAGAGGGCATCCACAGGGAAGTGGCAAGTAGTGCCATGGGATTTTTGTTTCTGTTATATGAACACATGTTTATATGTGTCTGCACTGGGCTGTGATGTGAAATGTACCACTATGCAAAGTTTAAAATAGAAGGACAGATAGTTCATTATTGTAAAAAAGTGAAGGAAAGGTTTGTATATGGAAGAACTCCCATTGTTGATTACCAGAGGTAGGAGGGGAGAGGAGGGCACACTGCAAATAAATAAATAAATAAATAAAACCATGAGAATAAAAGAAAAGTTTAAAAGACACGTCCTGAAACAGTACAGCCATGTTATCTGTATTATCATGTATAAAAGATGTATTTTGTAATTCAGAAAAAGAATGTGAACAGTTGATGTAAGATGAGGGCAAAATTGGCACCTCCTGGATAAGCATAACGCTGTTTTCTCTTTCTGTATTTCAGCAACTGGAAGCCATTTGTGTTAAGGTAACCTCCGGAGAAACGCCAGGTCAGGAGAGGCCGATGCCCCCGCCGGCTGCCTTCCAGCCCAGAACAGTGTGGCCAAGCCCACCCCTCAGGAGGAACCACAGCCAGGTGGGCCTCAGTGTCACTGGGCCTCCCCTGCTCAGGGTCCAGCCCCTGCTGAGAACTGGGCCACAGCCGTGTCACCTGAGCAGCCCACCTCGGCCTCCTGTTGAGATGTTGGTGCAGAGGCCTCTGCCCACCCTCAGCCCAGTCTCTGTGAAGAGAGCCGCAGCCCCTAAAGCTCCAAGTGGACAGACAGTCCTATCTGCCCCTCCACCAGCCTCTGACCCGCCGCCATTAACATCTATTTCACCCAGTTCAGCAAATGTGTTTATTTCCAGCTTGCATACAAAGCATGCTGAGAAACTGAAAAAACCAATAGAAGTGAAAACCCGCTCTGGCCGGATCTCTCGCCCTCCCAAGTATAAAGCCAAAGACTACAGATTCATTAAGACAGAGGATTTGGCCGATGGCCACCTGTCAGACTCTGACGATTACTCGGAACTCAGTGTGGGGGAAGATGAAGACCAGAGGGGAAAGCGGGTGCCCTTTGAGTCCTACAGTTGCTCCCTGCGGCCCAAAGCCTTCAAATGTCAGACTTGTGAAAAATCGTACATAGGAAAGGGGGGGCTGGCCCGGCATTTCAGACTTAACCCAGGCCATGGCCAGGTGGAGCCTGCAGTGCTGCTGTCTGCGAAAGCCAATGGGTACCTCTCTCGGGGGTGCATGGAGGACAGGAGCATTAGTCCAGCCTCGCCAGAGTCGTCTGCTCCCACTGTGCTGAGTGAGGAAGGGGTCCTCTCTCATTGTGCCACAGAGGCAGAGTCCTCTGGACTACAGGTAACCTTGCTGTCTGGGTGTCAGTTTCCTTACTGTCTGTCCCTTCCTGTCTGCTATCTGGAATTCACCTCGATGGTGTCTGATGAGGGTTCAGGCAGAGGCCCAAGCAGGACCAGATTGTGGTCTTGGTTGCACAGCTGCCAGCCAGTGAGAAGACGGGTGACGAGGGCCCCAAGCACATGTGTTGATCAGCGTGATCTAGTGAATGCGTTTGGTGGAACATAGCCACAGAGTCCTAGACCTGTCAGTGAAAGCCGTCCATGAAACCACCCTCCTGTGTCTGACGTTGCTGACAGGGTGGGGTCTGGGGAAGGTCAGAATCAGATGGTCTTGGTGCTGTTTCCTGGAGCATCACCAGTGACACGCCACTTCGCACTTCTCTCCCCGTCTGTCCCTTCCCAAACTCCCACTAAACAGCAGAGAGAAGTCGCCATGAGTCTACATTGCCACAACGAAATTTATTTACTGCAATTTCAAGTCAGCCAACCCCGTGGGTTGTGTTATGTGACATATGCAGTGTGAGTCGTTTTAAAATGACAGGTGGGTCACTGGGACCCAGGTCTCTACAAGTCATCCCTCCTCGCACTTTGCTTTTCCTTTGACTGCTTGCTGTTGTGTGTGTGTGTAAGTGTGTGTGTCTGTGCTCTTGGCTAGGTAATGACATTTATATTGTAGCTTTTGAAATGGTAGGTAGGAAAGCATTGGAATTGATGTGAGATTTGGTGGGAGTTTGTGACTAGTGATGGGGAAGATGTAGAAAATGAGTGCCTGTCTCTGGGGACACTCCAGGCTACTCTGTGTCCCTGTAGTGGGCAGGGGTCTAAGGACCTGGACAGCCACTTCTGGAGCCCGGCGGTCTGTATTGAGATCCAGAAGCAGGATTTAGGGCCACTGTTGTGTCAGCATTCAGAAAATGATCCTTCCCAGAGCATTCCCCTAATCACGGCAGCAGTAACTGGCTGGATTGAGTTGCACTGTAAGCCTGCTCTGGGCAGGCTGTGTGCTAGGAGGATTACATCAGTGTTCTCAGTCCTGCAGCTGCTCTGAAAGGAAAGACTTCCAGCTGAGGTGAGGCCCAAGGCTTCATGGGACGACTGACTCCCGCCCATTGGGTCACTGCGTGGCTAGTAATCTGTCTGGGTGGAATCAGACCCTGGGCTTTTCCTCCCAGAGCCTGCACTAAGACCATGCTGCCCTGTGGGAGGTTCTCAGCCTCTGATGACTGGCGGAATCCCAGCTTGTAGAAAACCTTGCTGTTTCTACTTGTCTGACCTTGTACCTGGGCTGGGTGACCATATAGCTTATCACCCAAACCAGGACATTTTGAGAGCGCAAAGGGCATGGTTTTAACTGCGAGGAGCAGCAGGAACACCCAGGACCGTCTAAGACAAAACAGAACGACCACCCTTACCCTGGCTCTTCCTACTTCCTTCAATAGAGGAATGCTACACCATAGCAGAAGAAACTTCCAGGTACTCTGTTTCCTGAACATGGGCGCCTGGCTTTGGGAGTAGAGGCTGTCCAGGTTACCCTGAGTTCACCTCTTCTGACTGCTGGATACAGAGGGGTCTGCTGTGGAGGCCATGTGAGAGTTAATACCAGGACCCGCTCAGTTCTCCTGAAGCGTCCCCTCATTGGAGATGTGGAGGGCTAGCTCTTCATGGCCCCATGAATGACAGCTACTGCTGAGAGAGCACGGTACATGTGTCCTTCACCATGTGGCGAGCATTTACTCCTCCAGCAGTCCTGGGAGATGTAGGCTTATTACTCCAACTTACAGAGCAGGGAACATGCATGGAATGAGGAAACAGAAAATGTCAGAGCCAGAGTTGTCTGTAAAAAGAGGCTGCCAGGGGCTGTAGGGTAGGGGCTGGGAGTGACTGCTCATGGGCACAGGGTTTCGTTTTGGGGTAATGAGAATGTTCTGGGATTAGGTAGCGGCGATGCTTGCAACCTTGGAATGTACTCAGTGTCACTGAATTAATACCCTTTAAAAGCATGAACTTTGCTGTGTTCTTAGGTGCCGTCTAGTAGGCTCTGGCTCATAGCAACCCTATCCCCGCAGAACAAAACACTGCCCAGTCCTGTGCCAGCCTCACAATCCTCGCCATATCTGAGCCCACTGTTGCATCCTCTGTGACAATCCATCTCATCGAGGGCCTTCCCCTTTTTTCGCTGACCCTATACTTTACCAAGCATGATATCCTTCTCCAGGCAGTGGTCCCTTCTGACAACATGACCAGAGTAGGTCAGACGAAGTCTGGCTATTCTAGCTTTCAAGGAGCATTCTGGCTGCACTTCTTCCAGGACAGATTTGTTAGTTCTGGCAGTCCATGGGACTTTCAGTATTCTTCACCAACACTACAACTTAAAACATCAGCTCCTCAGTCTTCTTTTTTTGTTGTCCAGCTCTTACATGCATGTGAGGCAAGTAAAAATCCATGGCTTGGGTTAGGCACACCCTAGTCTTCACAGAGACATCTTTGCTCTTCAGCACTTTAAAGAGGTCTTTTGCAGCAGATTTGCCCAGTGCAAAAGTCATCTGATGTCTTGACTGCTGTTTGCATGGGTGTTAATTGTGGAACCAAGTAATATGAAATCTTTGACAACTTCAATCTTTTCTCCATTTATTGTAATGCTGCTTATTGGCCCAGTTGTGAGGATTTTCGTTTCCTTTATGTTGAGATGTAATCCATACTGCAGACTGTAGTCTTTAATCTTCATTTTATGGTATTGAAATATATCTCAAAATAGTAATTTTTAAAAAAAGCCATGGCCAAGTTATGAATGAGAATGTTTTCAAGATGAAAGTCACGTCACAGGAGCTTCTTGTTTCATTTCGGACAACATCCCTGGGTTATTGTCTGTCGGCCCAGAGTTCCTGGCTGGCTAGTACTGCCCCAATGTTGTAAAGAGGTACCTTGTTGAGACACACTGATCACAGTTAATATGTGTAATTCTGCAAAGAAGAAATATCATAACAAGCTCCTCGCTTTTGACTTGATATTTTCCTGCTTTAAGGTTCTCACGGCGGTATGGTTTTGTTTTGTATTTTGAGTGTGCAGTGTTCATTTAGAACAGCCAGTCAGGAGAATTTGAAGAGGACTTGGTGTCTGAGCCAGAAAATGGAAGTTACCCAGCCCTTTGGGGACCAGGGAGACACTCAGGACCTAGAAGAGGCAGGTATCCCAAGGTCTGTGCCAAGTCCAGTGCAGCTGCCCCCCAGCAGAGCAGAGTTGCTCAGCCACCTGTGGACCCTTGAGCCATGGAAGAGCAGAGCGCAGTGGGGAGCAGAGCCAGACTCGAGGAGGTGTGTCACCCTGGAGCCCTGTGCTTGAGCTTAGGTGCCCGTTGGTGTGGGACGTGGTTGTTACTTTCTGAATTTTAGCTTAAAATGCTCAGATTGCCTGACAGTTCATCTGAGATGTACTTGGACGAAGCTATAATAAATGCAAGGACAGATGTGCCCTGTAATCTTACTTCCCTGTTCCAAATGACCCTAGGGACTCACCTGTAGCTTCACAAGCTGTGGCCTTTGCCTGTTTGGGAATAGTGATAGCCTGTATGTGCACAGAAGCCGTTCAGAAAACAAGGGGAATGGTTTCCTGTTTTTCTGTAAAAAGCTTCAAGGGATCAAAGCATCTTTCAGCTTTTGGACCCTGGAATCTCCCACTCTCGGTCCCCTGAAGGTAGGTAATAATTGAGTTTAACTGAACTGACTTGAGTAAGGAGAACCATAACACCCAAATCATCTTTGTCAGCGATGTGTGTTATTTGCCTGATAATGGCCAGGAGAATGTCTTAAAAAAGTGAAAAATTGCAAGACACAGCCTGAGATAATATGTTAGTGAGACAGAGCCAGAGAGAGTGGCTGCCAGGGGCACAGGGCTTCCAGCCCCCTGCACATGAGGTGAGACGTGGTTTTCAGAGAGGAAGTCGGTTTCTTAGGTTTCTAAGGCATAATGTAATGTTACATGTTCTA